TTCTTTTTGCTTATGTGGTGCTGAGGAATCGAACCCAGGGCCTCAGGCATGCAAGGCAAGCACTCTACCACTGAGCCACCTTCCCAGCCCCTAATGAACACATTCTTTATTTCCAAGGGCTGTTATTAAAACTGCTAAAGAAAATGACTTGTAAGAAGTTAAATTTATTCCTAAGAAATCTTACAGTTGGAAAAGTATTTATAGAGTACAGGACAAACTAAGAAAGCATTTTAAGATGTTACATTAAAATCTGGCAAAAAACAAACTAGAAGAAGATAGGAAAAAATTACCCAGAGTAGCAAAAGCCTGAACATAACTGATGAATTGCAGAGAAACTTTGAAGCATATTTAATGAATGAAGAGATGACTTAGAAGTAGCACCACAGAATATAGATCATACCCAAGAAAATGATGCCTTTGAATAAATGTTCTGTCAGAAAAAAGATACAAGTCAATTTAAAACTTCCTTGGATTTTTTTATTCTACCTGGTGGACTGACAAACTCAAAGCATACTACTTTGCCTGGAATAAGCAATGTGGAGAATCAGCTCTTCTTGAATTTTTGTTGGGAATATAAATTTGCATAACCTCTGTGTAGGATTACTTGGAAATACCTTTCAAAAAAATTTTTTTTGGTGTATGTGTTGGTCCTAGGCCTTCAAGTCAGGACCTAGGCACTGTCCCTGAGTTTTTCTGTTCAAGGGTAGTGCTCTACCACTGTTGGTATTTGTTTTGGTGGTTAATTGGAGATAGAGTCTCACATACTTGCTTGCCCAGGCTGGTTTCAGCCTCCTGAGTAGCTAGGATTACAGGGATGAGCCACAGGTGCCAAGCTCTTTCAAAATTTAAATGACATCTTCTTGGAGTGTTTTGTCTTTCATAAAGTGATGCTACATGTGTATATGAATATACATGAACAAGGCATTGCAAGAGGTAGCTTTTCTAGTAACTTGTTTTTCGTATATATCTGAAAAATAAATCTCTGAGAGGATAAGACACTTCTTGGGAGGGAAACTGAGTTTGCTAATAAACAGGCCAAGAAATATAATTTTTAAGGTAAATACCCTTTACAGAATACATGTACATGTGTTATCTCCAAAAATCAATAATTAACAACACGGGCCAACAAACATATGAAGAGACGTTCAACATCATTAGCCATCAGGGAAATATAAATCAATGTGACATTCAGATTCCATCTCCTCTCAGCCAGAATTTCTGTAATCAAGAAAATAAACAACAGGTTTGAGCATAGTAGTCACCATGGTAGTCACATTTGGGAGGGTGGAGATTGGGAAGATTGCAGCTTGAGGCTAGCCTATGAAAAATTTAACAGGACTTCCTCTTAATAAGTCAGGAGTGATGGTGCATGACTGTAATCTCACCTACATAGCAGATGTATGTGGGAGGATTGCTTTCCAAGGCTGGCCTGAGCCTTGAGCATCGAGAGTGTCTGTCATCAGTTATTATGTCTTAATAGCTTGATTTTTAGACGGTGTTTTGTTGCCTCTCATTGCCAATGAGAGCAGTAAGTAAGTGCATTCAATTTTGGGGATACATTACTAGAGTTAAATTAATACAAAGTAACTGTTTCTCAAATCATCTCTTTTTTTGTTTATTCTCAAATAGAAGAAAGAACCTTCTAAAGCCAGTGTCAAGAAAAAATTAACCAAAGTTGCTGAAGCAAAAAAAGTAATGAAGAGAAATTTTAAAGTGAATAAGAAGATAACCTTTACTGATGATGGAGAGGTAAGATTCTGTAAACTCTTGGCTAGTGATTGTAGGGTTTGTCTTCTGCTGACTGGCTACTTATTACTGAGAATGTCCATGTTTCTTGAGGGCTTACCCAGCCGTTCCTCTCGTTATTTCTGTAAGCATTTCATCAGCCCTGTGCTGTGGAGAAGAATTTCTCCTTGTCAGTAAACTGAGATACTTACTGGTGATCCTGACATAGGTGGTTATGAACTTTCTAAATTCTGTTGTTTTTGTTTTTGGGCCAGTACCAGGACTTGGACTCATGACCTTGTACTCTCTTTTTTGCTCATTGCTGGTGCTCTACCACTTGAGCCATGCCACCAAGTACAATGCTTGCTTTGTAATCTCACAGTCCAGTCACTTGACTGCTATCAATGTTTTCTATTCTATTTTTCTATGAAGGAAGATATTTTGTTCACTTCTATACTCAATATCTAGATTAATGCTTAATGTATGATAAAGCTTCAGAATAATTTGTTGAGAGCTTTTTATACCAACTAGTATCACCATTGTAGATTTCATTACATCATCACTGATTTAAATGCTAATTTAGAGGACAGTATCCAAAGGACTATGCTTCTTCTTTTTCTTTTTTTAAAATTTTGAAGTTAGGAAGATTTGGGTGTTATTTGGGGGGTGTCAAAAAATGAAATGACAGATAACAAAATCTATAGCATGCTTTACAGTTGCTGGAAGTGGAAAGCACTATTAATGATAAATAATAAATCTTTATGAAAGCACTAAAAGAGAGTTGAGCATGAGAAATGCAGGCTAAACTAAAATGTAGTCATATCGCCTCTGACGTTCCCTGCAAAATAAGATGAGTGCTCTTAGTGTAATGAGGTTTGTGTGCTGTTAACTGCACAGATTATACCAATTAGCTCCAGGGTGATTGCAAATCTTTAACTATAAAATGTTTCACTTATGTTTATTGCTAATAGGAGCTGTTGATGGTTCTGAGCCACAATTTAACTTAGATTGGAAGCTCAGAAAGAACTTCTGCTCTTTGTTTAGCCTGCAGAGGGTACACCTTTTTACTCTGTGATATTCATTTGGATGAGGAGTCTGAATGAGAGATGGCTTTTCTTTGCTACAACTGATCCCCATCCTGGCTGCTTTGGGCTCAGTGATTGCTGGAATGGCCAGTCATGCAATAATCTCTTTTAACTCATTGGTTGCTGGAAGTTGAGAATACAGTAATCCCACCTTGAAGAACAGCTGTGGTGGTTGCAAGCTTGAGAGGAGACAGGGCCTTGTGAACATCTGGGAGGTTCCCATTAGCTTGCAGATCAATAAACGGGCTTTGAAAACAGTGGCACCTATTTAAATTCTTCTGGCAACTAGTTTTTTGATAAAAGAACCATTTTTGTGTAAATTGTGTAAAGCTTTATATAATGGTTTGAGCTAGAAATTATGGAGTCCGCTCTTTATTTTTCTGGAGAGGACACAGGTATACAGAGAATAATTTATTCAACATTATACAGTAGGCTATTGAAAAAGCCAGGACCTTTTAGCCAGAGTCCCTCCCAGTTGCATGCCCTTGTCTGCCTGTCACCTTGTTCCTATCTGTAAATGATGTGTGCAGAGTCATGTGGATTTGAGCAGCCTGAACGAATTTTCACCTTGAGTTTTTCCAATCCCTTTTCCTATAATATTGGCTGCTAGTGCAATACATTGATCAGTTTCAAGGCCCTGTGTACTATGTCACATACTATTTCGGGCTCTAAGGATAAATAAACAAGACATACAGCTGCCTTCAGAGTTAGTTCCGATAGGAGAAACAGGAAAGTAAAGTCAGCACAGCAGCTTAGTGGGCTCTGTTAGGGACACACGCAGATGCCTCAGTATCCCACAGGAGGCACACACTAGTCCTCTCTGGCAGTCCTGCTCTGCACAGGTCTTGCTCTGATTTCAATGATGATTTTGAGTTGAGTAATTTGAGTAGATATTAAAAACAAAATTGGGAAGCATTTCTACTCTGCAGCCACTTTCTCCAAATAATTTTGTGAACTTGTGCCTTATTCCCCTTAATTAGGAAGTTTATAAGAAAGTTCATAGAGAATTGTAAGGCAGGAAATGGTTACATACTAATTTATAATGATTACATGGTATTATTTGGTTTCTTGAAAGTTCTTTTTTTTCCCACCGCATACTTAACTTTTTGTCTGTAGTTGGTTCAGCAGTGGCCACAAGTACAGAAATCTACCACAAAGGATACAGAGGAGGAAGATGATGCTGGTGGTATCAACTTAGAAAAAGCAAAGGAAAGACTTCAGGAAGAGGACAAGTTTGACAAAGAAGAATACAGGAAGAGGATTAAGGCAAAGCATCGGGTAAGCATTCTATCTTGAATTAATAGAGTGACATCTAGTGTGTCTCTAAATAATAATTTGCTATTTGTTCATGATGTTATTATTTTTCTTTATTGTTTTCTCAGGCACCTTTTCTGTGGCTATTTTATCATGTCTATCCTTTTTATACTTCTGTTAAGGTAGTATAAAATACTTATTTCTGACTCAAGTAGTGTTAGTGAGTTTTTAAATAACAGTCATGTATCACCTAACATTTTGATCAGTGATAAGACTGAATATAAATGATGGTGATCCCAAGTGATTATGTTATATAAATGTGATGTTGCGGCTGTCTTGGTTTGTGTAAGTACAGGCTATAATGTTTGCATAATACTCAGGCCCAGAGTGTTACTGGAATTTTTATGTTGAGGTAGTTCTTATTTCACATGTAATTGTAGGAAGTAAATGTTCTCCATTACTATAATTTTACCATCACCATAATTTTTTTTTTGGGGGGGGTCCAGTTGTGGGACCTGAACTCTGGGCCTGGGCGTCTGTCTCTCAGCTCTTCAGCTCAAGGTTAGTGCTCTACCAGTTGAGCCACAGCGCCACTTCCGGCTTTTTTCTCTTTGCTTATGTGGTGCTGAGGAATTGAATCCAGGGCCTCATGCATGCAAGGCAAGTACTCTACCACTGAGCTACCTTCCCAGCCCATAATATTTTATATATGAAGCTGAATAATATATAGCCTTTTAGGATTGGCTTTTTCATTTAAAATTATTTTCTAGTGATTCACTCAAATTGTATCAGCACTACATTGTAATATGTTCAAGTTCTTCCATCTTAAAATAGAAGCCTAGGGATGCTTACTAAGTTAATGTGTTACTGTTGACTCTTTAACGATCTGCTACCTGTCTCAAACTATCAAATATTGTCTTATAACAGGAGGCATAAAAAGGTGGAAGGTGATAATAGGAGGAGAGGGTGGCAAATAATGTAAATTATTCATCTTTCCAAGGAGGGTCATTGGTTTAAAAGCATTATGCTTGGTAGTAGTTTAAAACTTGATATTAATTTACTTTTTCCACAGTGTTAATTGTATAAATTATTGCATATTAGTGCTGGGATCCATTTTTTTTTTAGTAGCTATTGTCATTTAAAGTCTAAGATAGTGGTCATAACTATGAGCCAGCTTACATAATTAGAAGAATTTTATTAAGATCAAAAATATTGGCATTGACCACAAGGAACTAATGTCATCTGGTTTCCAACTTTACAATCTCATTATGAATAATGCTTACATATAGAAGAAGAAGACCTTCTTGTATACAAAAGACCCTCTTGTATTAATAATGCTGTGACAAGTCTTTGTTCTGCTAATAGCTTCCATTTTTCTTCTTTGTTTATGGAATTAAAAAGCACATTATGGTGTTTGAGAAGTGGGTCGGTTAGACTGCTGGATAGTCTGGAGATACCTGACAGGATTGAGTCACAGCTTATGTCCAAGGCCCATCATGCTGCTCAGCATGTAGCAGCTCAGTAAATAGTCCAGGGCCTGAACTAACGATGTTTACCTGCCAATTTAATTTTTTTCTCCTGTCTTCATATCCTTATTCCAGTTGTTCCAGTTTTATAAATAGACTACTCTTTTTGTAGTTGGTGAAACGAAACTTTGTACAATGGGTCACAGATGAAAGTATTGGGTATTGTTGGGAGGAATCTGAGTTTACTGAGATTTTGTTCTTAGAGGGCACAGGGGTCTTTAGGGTTTAAAAATTTTATAGCCATTCTTTCATGTATTTTCATTAAGGCAGTTTTCTGCCCTGAGAAAGATGTGCTAGTAATACTGAAGATGTCCCTCTTTCTTGTTTGATAGCAGGAGACTCTCTTCTTTACTAAATTATCAAGAGTTGCCAGAGACCCATTCAGACAGGTTATGTTTCCATCACCTCCTGAAAAAATGACTTATATTTCCAAATCTGCAAATTTCCAGTTATCACTAGAGAATGAAAAAGGCTGAAATAAAATACCCTGACTGCTGCTGAAATCCATATTTCATGGTACTTTCAGTTTTTGGAAAATAAGGACCTATAATATGTGAGAAGCCAATGGAAGTATAATGTTATGGAGGGAGTATTTTATACCTTGAAATGTGATTTGCTGTTTTCCACTCCCTTGTGAATTTCATTTTTTGTTATTGAATTTCATGCTCTCCTTATACTTAATCATTTGTAGCATGGTAGAACTAAAGATAAAATTTCACCTTTTTATGTGGCATAACATAGCTTTAGGTATCAGTATGCCCTTAAAAATGAAATGAAAAAACAAAGGATTTAAAACATTTGAACCATGTAAAATTAAGGTGGAGGGGACCTGAGTTACTGAATATAATAAAATACAATTATGTTCTTCCCTCAAGTCATTGTACTCCAGCCTTTAATCTTTGTCTCATCACAAACCTTGTTTTAAGATATTTTTCCTATCTCAGCAAAGAGGAAGTTGCTTTCTTCCCTGTGTCTATTTCCCAAATCTTGCATTACTGTTACTTTCTATTCTTTTGCTCTTCAGTTTAAAGGCTTGTTTACTCAACTCTTTTCAGAGTAATGAAGCATCCTTTTATACAAAGATAACTTTTCTAATGATTTACTTCAAATTGTTTTCCTCTTGTTTCACCCACTGTTGAAAGATTTTTCTTCTCTTTTCTTTTTTGGTACAAGGACTTAACTTCAGGGCCTCACTCTAACTTGTGCGTTATGTTACTACCATGTCAAGTCCCCAGCCCTTTTTTGCTTTACTTGTTTTTCAGAGATAATCTTGGTTTACTCAGGTCCACCTTTGGATCACAATCCTTGTACCTATACTACCTGTGTAGCTGGGATCACAGGCATGAGCCACCCACTAGTTTTATTGTTTGAGATGAGGGAGCGTCTCGCTGTCTTTTACCTGGATTGGCCTTGAACTTTGATCCTTGACCTTTGCCTCATAAGACACTGGATTATAGGCATGAGCCACAATGCCCAGGTCAAGTTTTTATGTCTTTTATGTACTCCCCTTTCATGTCTACTTCCTATTACAAAAAGTCTTTGGATCTCTCTCACCCATTTGAGAGTGGTAGCAAAAATGTCAAAATTATTGCATTTACATGAGCATGTTAATTCTGATTGCTAATGTATACGAACATTTAATATATCCTTTAGTGGTTATGATGAATTAGCACTGGGCTTCAGGTAGCAATAGAAAATTGACAGTGTATTTTTTCCTGCCGTCATTTAGATGGTGAGATGAAAAGATTGTGTACTTGTGTGGAAAGGTTTTTGTCTGAGTAGACACATCAGGGTCATTCTTTGCGACTTTGAAGTGCCATTTTCAGATAGTCTAATGTGTTGGGAGAAGGCCAGTTATTGAATAATTACAACAAAAAATTGTGTGACTTTTAGATGTGGTCAATTATCTGTTTCTTTTGCATAGGAGATTGGCAAAAGTTAATTAAGTAAAGTCTATAAAATGCTGTCAGGAGAAAGAATGTCATTAGGATGAAAAGACTCAGATGGCAACAGACTGTTATTAGTAATAAAAGTAATAGTGCCATTCCTAAGATTAAAAGCACTGCGTCTGACTGTAGGAAGCTGAATGAACAGTGTAACGAAGGAGCATGGAGGGCAGTAATGTGCTGCAGCTGACATCAGCTCCAAGGGCCCAGGTTAGTGCTTGGTCTGTCAGCCGCTCTGTATATGACAGCAGCCAAGTGACTACTCAGTCACTTTCATCACCCAGTTGTTACCTACACAGTGGGAAAAGCAATTTCTTACAAGTTCTGTTATACAGGTTTAGAACAAGAAAAAAAACCAGTTGGATAAGAAAAAAGTCTTGAACATTGTTGATGCTTAGTTGGAGAACTATTATTGTTGGAAGAAATTCATAATAATAGTAATGATAATGGACAAATGAATTTTTATGGAAATGTGATTTTATTAATCCAGCAATTTAATGCGTTATGTAGCTATAGTTTTTTTGTTTTCTTATTAGTTATTTATTTATTTTTGTGGTTGTGGGGCTGGAACTCTGGGCCTGGGCACTATCCCTGAGCTTTTATGCTCGAGGCTAGTGCTCTACTAACTGAGCCACATCTCCACTTATGGGTTTTTTTTTTTTTTTTGAGGCTTGTTTTTTTTAGCTGGAGATAAGAGTCTCCTGGACTTCCCTGCCTGGGCTGGCTTCGAACCAAGATCCTCTTATCTCAGCCTCTTTAGTAGCTAAGATTGAAAGTGTGAGTCACCTGTGTTCTACTGTAGCTGTAATTTTAAGATTGCTTAAACAGCCAAAATATAAAAGTCAGAACTGGAGGTATGGCTCAAATAGTAGAATAGCAGCAAGGAGTGAAAAAGGCAAGTGAAATTTTGGGACCACTGAAGTCAAACCCTAGTACTATCATACACTTAAAAAGTTAAAAAAATCTGGGCTGGGAAGGTGGCTCAGTGGTAGGGTGCTGGCCTCGCATGCATGAGGCCCTGGGTTCGATTCCTCAGCACCACATAAGCAGAAAAAGCTGGAAGTGATGCTGTGGCTCAAGTGGTAGAGCATTTGTCTTGAGCTGAAGAGTTGAAAGACAGTGCCCAGGCCCAGAGTTCAAGTCCCAGGACTGGCAAAAAAAAAAAGTTAAAAAAATCTAGTCATTATTCTGATACTGTTACATTTAATTTTAATGTCTTAATGGGAGAACTTTTGGGGATGGTTCATAATAGGATTAAAGTGTCCTATATAGAGAAAAACAAGTCAAATTACAAATATATGGATCTATAAACTGGCCCAGCTCTCAAGCTAACCAAACTTAGGATTCATAAATATTCCTTGAATAATTTAATTGTTATCTATCATGTATTTTATAGCCTGCTAATGGTCAAAGAAAATCAGTAATTGGTGTGCCAAAGATGAAGAATTTGGCCACAAATTATTTAGAAACTGCCATCTATTAACTTATTTTGTCCTACCAATCAAAGAAGCACTCAGATTATTTTAGCGGCAGAACATTCATCAGAGTCTCATTGGAGAACCAATTTAGGGATTTCTGTTGTTGTTTGTTGCTTTTTTTGAGGCAGGTTTATATTTTTGAGGTGTGTGTGTGTATGTGCAGATATATTTGTACATATGTGTGCATGTATGCGTGTATGTATGTATGTATATCACAAGCTGGTCTCCAAATTGTGATCCTTCTGCTTCAGCTTCTAAGTGCTGAGATTACAGGCATGAGCCACTATGCCTAGCTCAGGGCAGAGTTTGATAATAGCTATTGCATTGATTAGCTGCCCACTAAAATAATGTACCTGTTATTTTCTTTTGTTATTAAAGCCATATCTGTTGATACTTACCATTTTTATTAGAATATATTGGAAAAGAGAGTAGTCTTGGCACAAAAAGACCAGCTTTAACATCAGTCTTTTTATAATTACACAAGCTCTTTGACAAGTAAGCAGATCAAAACCTTTTTTTTTTTGGCGGTCGTGGGGCTTGAACTCTGGGCTTGGGCGCTGTCCCTCAGCTCTTCAGCTCAAGGCGAGCACTCTACCACTTGAGCTACAGCACCACTTCCGGTTTTTTTCTGGTGGTTTATTGGAGATAGAAGTCTCACAGTCTCTCCTGCCTGGGGTGGCTTTGAACCGCGATCCTCAGATCTCAGCCTTCTGAGTAGCTAGGATTACAGGCGTGAGCCACCAGCGCCCGGCCAAAACCTTCTTATATGTTTCTTCAGCTTTCTTTTCTTTCCTCTGACCTTGGTTTCTGAAACTTCCAATTAATCTTTTTTTAAAATAAATTTTGTACTGTGAAAATATTGTACAGAGGGGTTACAGTTACATGAACAAGGTAATGAGTACATTTCTTTTTTTTTAAATAAGTTTTTTTTATTGTGAAAATACCATACAGAAGGGTTACAAATACATGAGCAAGGTAATGAGTACATTTCTTATCAAGCATTGTTGCCTCCTCCTTTGTTTTTCCCCTACCATCCCTGCCCTCCCATCTTCACAACAACACTCCCCCCTCCACCCCCCCGCCAAACTTGGAAAGTTCGTTTTTCAACATAGCATCTTGTACATCTCAGTGTTGCAATGGGTCCACCTGTATCCCTATTTAAATAATTTGTTTTTTCCTTTACCCTCCGCAAATTATACCAACATCAAATACAGTGAAAACAGGGTTTATACGGTGGGGGGGGGGGACATACAAAGCAACAAAAGAAAAATCACCTTATAAATACATTAGAAACAATAGCAAGAAAGAAAAAACCACTTGTGTCCTTATCTTGGGGTTCATTTCACCTAACATCATCTTATCTGACCTTTTCTGCTTGTCTCAAACATATACTAGTTATTGCAAATAAGGGAAACCTTGGGACCAATGTTTCTTTGGGTCTGGCTTACTTCCCTTAATATAATTTTTTCCAAGTCTTTCCATTTTCTAACAAATGGGGCAATGTCATTCTTTCTGATGGAGGCATAGAATTCCACTGTCTGTCTGTCTGTCTGTCTATCTATCTATCTATATCACATTTTCTTGATCCATTCATCTACTGAGGGGCATCTGGGTTGGTTACATATCTTAGCTATGGTAGATAATGCTGCAATAAACATAGTTGTGCTGGTAGCTTTAGTATGGTCTTGTTTGTGATCATTCAGGGGATTGCTGGGTCATAGGGGAGCTCTATGTGGAGTCTTTTGAGGAACCTCCATACTGCTTTCCAAAGTGGTTGAACAAGTTTATACTCCCACCAACAATGCAGTAGGATTCCCTTCTGTCCACATCCCCTCCAGCATCTATTGTTCTTAGAGTTCTTGATTATAGCCATTCTAACTGGGGAGGAGGTGGTGGTGTTTTGATTTGCATTTCTTTTATGGCTAGAGAGGTTGAGCATTTCTTCATGTGTCTATTGGCCATCCTTCTTTCCTCTTCAGAGAGGTTTCTCTGTAAGTCTTTAGCCCACTTATTTATTGGGCAGTTGTTTCTTTGAGGATTTGTTGTCGGGGATTTAATTTTTTGAATTCTAAGTATGTTTTAGATATGAGACCCTTTTCTGTTGTATAGCTAGTGAAGATCTTCTCCCAATCCGTGGGCTTTCTACTGATCTTGCGCACTATGTCCTTTGCCATGCAGAAGCTCTGCAGCTTCATGCAATCCCATTTATCCAACCTTTCTTTAATTTGTTGTGTTTTTGGATCTCTATTAAGAAAATTTTGGCTGGGAGCTGGTGGCTCATGCCTGTAATCCTAGCTACTCAGGAGGCTGAGATCTGAGGATCACAGTTCAAAGCCAGCCCGGGCAAAAAAGTCCATGAGATTCTTTTTTTTTTTTTTAAGATGTAAAATATCTTATTTGTAAATGGTGTCCACAAATTCCAAAACCCATAACACTCTGTACACTTCAAAAAAAGCCCATGAGATTCTTATCTCCAATAAGCCATTAGAAAACCAGAAATGGCACTGTGGCTCTAGCGGTAGAGTGCTCGCCTTGAGCTGAAGAGCCCCCAAGCCTAGAGTTCAAGCCCCAGGGTCGACCAAAAACAAACAAACAAACAAGCAAAAAAATTAAAAAAAAAATTTCAGTCTGTGCCAAGGAGACTTAGGATTTCTCCTATTCCTTCCTGTAATGTTTTCAGGGTGTCTGCTTTGACTCTGAGGTCTTTGATCCATTTGGAGTTGATTCTGGTTCAGGGTGATATATAAGGATCTAGCTTTAGTTTTCTACAAGTGATTAACCAATTTTGCCAGCACCATTTTCCGAAGAGGCTGTCTTTCTTCCATTCTACTTTTTTTAGTTCACTTATCGAAGATTAGATGGCTATAGGTCTGTGGGTTTATTTCTGGGTTTTCAATTCTATTCCATTGGTCCTGAGGTCTGTTCTTGTGCCAGTTCCAAGCTGTTTTGACTACTATGGCTTTGAGTACATTTCTTATCCAGTGTTGTTGCCTCCTCCTTTGTTTTCCCCCTACCATCCTGTCCCACCTCCTCAACTATACCCCCACCCCCACATCCTCACCCCCGCCTAAATGGTAAAGTTCATTTTTTTTTGACATAGTGCCAATTAATCTTTAGATACTTGTGTAATTTACTAGCAGCCTCTTTACTGTATATTTTCTGTGGAAGTCAGAGTATTACTTCTCCAAAGCTGGAGAAGAAAATAATCACAGAAGGCATACAACATACCTAGTAGCTATTTGAATTTGGAGGTTTGTTTGCTTTGCATAGAATTTATATTTCCTACTGTGTAATCTGAAGCATTAAAAACTGAATCTGTAGACTCTGGACTCCTGTATTCTTTGTACTGATTAGTGTTTAACTCCTTTTGAGATTTTTACCACTCATATTCTTAATTTATCATAAAGGAGTCTGTATGTGTCAACAAGGTGTATATGTGATTCTGTCATCAGAGTGTGGATTAAGAGTAGTTTTTGAATTTAAAGCCATATATGCATATGAAGCACAGTGAAGATAAATGAGTGCCCCACAGAGCTATTGTTTCCTCTCATATCAACAATAGATTTAATATAATGATGACTCATCAGTATATCATCTTACAATCCGACAAGAAAACAACTTACTGTCAATTTACTTTTTATATTAACATAATAGTTCATCAAAAGAAACAACATAATATTAACTAAGAATTAGGGATTAAAAACCTTTCATTGACAGATTATTTTTGAAGATGGTAATAGTTTTCTAAAAAATACTTTAAAACTGCATTCATTTTTAATTTTAGCTAGGTTGTTTCATTTTGAATTTTACTTTCTCTTACTTAAAAAACCTCAGTGTTTCTAGTATGTGGTGGTTCATACCTGTAAGTACCTACACTTGGGAGACTGAGCATGAGGATTGTGATTTCAAGATGAGCCTGGGCTACAGGCTAGGAAGACCTTTCCTCTGATAAACAAAACAAACAAAATCTTGTTTTTGCATTTTAATTTATTTTATGGTCAGTGGAAACTAATAAAGAATTATAAAGCAGCTTAATAAAATAACATGTTTTATAAGAAGGACTTTCAATTGTTTTCTGAGATCGTATTAACAATCTTTTAAAAATCTAGGTTGAGGAGTTCATATTTTTTTTTATAAGTTCTATTTCAAAGGATAAGGAAAATAGTCATGATTGAATTTTCTCCTTTTATTCAAATATAGCTGTAGTTGATTGTGTATCAGTCTTATATGTTGTGGAAACCACTTAATTATATAATTTTGTATGATTGTATCAAGTTTTACAACATGTATTTTCCTATTGTTTCCATTTTAGATTGAGTTAGAATAAATACATAAGAAATGTGGTATAGTTGGGAGGTGATTCCAGATTGATTGACATACACTTAGTGATTGTGAATAAACAATAGGTATTTTATGAATAGTTATTGAAAAGTGAATATCAAATCTCATTTGTAAGTTGGCTTTAAAAAGTTATAGTGATTGTGTAGTTAATTTTATATCTAAATAGAATGTCACTAATTTTTTCTTTCTAATTTAAAAAATTTTAAAAAGTTAAACTAGTGATTTTGTAGTTAATTTTATACCTGAATAGAATGTCACTAATTTTCCCTTTGTTTTTTTCTCCTATAGGAGAAAAGACTGAAAGAAAAGGAAGCCAGAAGAGAAGCCAACAAGAAACAAGCAAAGGTAAGTAGTTTTATCTTTATAAATAGATATGTACATATTTATCTATTTCTAAGTAGATTTTTTGACAATTCTATTGAAGTGTGAGACAAAAGAGGATTTATATTTTAATAAGGGCAATGTTTATAATGTTGAAATAGATGTTAAATTCCTATCTTTTCAGTATACGTTTTGTGTATGTATATAGCAGGATATTCCAATTGAATTTAAGCTCTTGTGGCCTGTACGTTTTGGTTCACTTATTTTCCTCCATGATGCAGAATGAAGAATACCTAAGATGCTTTGTTGGGCTTTGCCTTACTCCCCTATCACTTTTTCCCATTGTATTTTTGTCCATTAAACACAGAAGATGGGCTAGGCTTTATCAGATTTTTAATTGTTTTTAAAAGGTGAGTTGCAGTCAGATAATGAGTAAATTTCTTTTGGGACAGTGTTACTGTTTCCCTTGCTCTCCTAGTTTTTTCCTCCCATCCTCATTGATCAGTTTTTTTAGTCTGTATCACATTTAGATTTGTGTCCTATTAGAACCCAGTTGCATTAAACCCCTGTTTTAATTGAGTCCACAGAATCTACATGAATTCACTCTGTACCTTCCACCATAATTATACTCTATAAACAATAATGTTCAGCCTATCTATCTTTCCATTAACAATTACAAACACCATCCATGTGCACCTATGAATTTCGCCTGATGGGTTTGACACTGAAAGTAATTCAGCTTTGTATTCTGTATTCTGTATTTGGCCTTGAACCAAGGCCAAGTAATATATGTCATTTCTCATGCAGAATCTTACTGTGCTATGCCTGACTAGCCATGATTTCTTCTCAGCAGTTAGGAAAGCTTCTACTCCCTTGAGTAAGCCCATAATCTTCTTTTGTCATTTTTTTCCCATACTGGTCAAAACACTTCCAGAACAGGTCAAAGATGATAACTCATGCCGTAGTTCTGAAGTGGGAAGCAATGAAAAATCGGCAGGAATTTGTTATTAAGTGTCACTCTGTCTTCAGTGGCACCTGAAAATGAAATCGCCAGCATGTACATCCTACTTCTAAAGCAGGAGGAGATTTCTGTTTATGCTTTGACAATTCAGGGGTTGAAGTCTTGTGGCAGGGAAATTGGATCTTAGGGGTTGCAGGGGATAAAAATTACTGTGCTAGATGGGGATGTGAGGTAACTGGGACAGGCTCTTGGATCATGCACAAGGGCCCTCTCTATCCTTGTCTGGCGTGGCCAATGCTATCTTACCAGTATAATCCTGTTAAAACAAAAACAAAAGGAGGAAATCTGTGGGGCAGCAAAGATGGCGCTGAGAGGGAGTTGAGTGGGCAGAGCCCAATTTACTGTAGAGCACATGGGCAGTAAAGATGGCTCTGAGAGAGAGTAGAGTAGACAGAGCCCAATTTATCTTACGTTCATTGTGTAACCAGCCCGTGAAAGCTTAGGTGCATGATAGGGTGTGACCTTGACAGTGATTGGTTCCTCTTCCTCCCTAGCCTTGCCACCAGCCCTTTTTGGCTTTAAAAAGTGCTGCTCTCTGTTAGTAAACGAGTTTTCTACCTGCTTGAAAAAAAAAAACTAAAGAAGAAAATCTTAGCCCTAATGAAAGTGTTTACATAGAAATAAGCCTTTTTTTGGTTGTTGTTGTTTTACTAAGAATCTCAAGTCTCGATTTAAAAGAGAGGAAAGCTATAATCTAGAGATCAGAGAAAGCCCTGTCATTGTATTTCCTTTGTATGTATTTATGCAGTTTGTACTTACAGTTTACCTTCTGTATCTGTGGAGTCTGTGCAAAAGCTTAACCAGGAACAGTCAAAAGTGTAGTTAGGGCGATGGTGATTACATGAATACTGAATAAGTGCTGGTTTTGGTATAGCAATTATTTATTTACAGTGCACATTGCATTGGTTATGGTAAGTAATGTGAAGATTAAAAGTATAAAAAAGTAATCCAGAGTAAAAGTATATGGTAGAGAGCTGGTAGGAGCACTCTAGCTTGTCTATTATGCAGAATTTGATCTCCAGCAACACCAAAAACAAAAAACAAAAAAAAGTATATGACCAAAAAAAAAAGACCAAAAAGAAAAGTACAAGAGCCGGTGCTGGTGGCTCACGCCTGTAATCCTAGCTACTCAGGAGGCTGAGATATGAGGATCACAGTTCAAAGACAGCCCAGGCAGGAAAGTCTGTGAGACTGTCTCTTATCACTAGAAAAAAGGAAGTGGTACTGTGGCTCTCTAGAGGTAGAGCCCTTGCCTTGAGCTGAAGAGCTGAAGGATAGTGCCCAAGGCCTGAGTTCAAGCCCCTTCGCCGCCCCCTCCCCCCAAAAAAAAGGGTATGAAAGCAGTGCATAGGTTATAAGCTATTTGATAGGGTTTGGGTATCTTCATGGTATTCATTGGGTGTCCTAAAGCCAGTTTCTCTTGAATTTTGAGGGAAGACTGTTCACTATAGTTTGTTTGTTTTCCTTGTTGATACTGTATGCTAGGTCTTTAATAATAGCTTGAGAAGTGAAAAATTACTCTCAGCCTTGAGACTACTTTCTGAGTTTCTCTTCTTTGATTCTCCTATAAAACAGTGTGAGCATTTGGTTGTAATATTATGTCATCTGGGGAGATAAACTCGAGAGCATCAGTTTTAGGGTTTTGCATTTGTTAAGGCCCTTCCTTCTTCCCTCTTCTACTTCCATGTTTGTCCTGGGGTGTGTTTATTTCTGACATGCAAGAAAGGATAACTCATTTCTGAATACTCCACTGAGGATTGTGCTGATAACAAAAAGATGAGGCTGTGCAGATGACATGGCTTTGCTGCTCAACCTGAACTTTAAATAGACAAAGTCTATGTTTTGTTATTTTTCTGAATAGTTTAGCTACCTCCATCTCCCAGTGTGCAGAGAAGGGAGTCTTCTAGTCACAGTGATATTACCAGGGGGCCGAGTGACCACTTTAGAGCCAGGATTCAAACATTCCTCAAGATGCTCAGGGCTAGCAGCAGTGACAGGTTTGTGCTTACTGAAAAACCTCAAAAAATTAGCTTAATCCAGCCTTTCATTACCTAACTTCTTTTCAAATGGAAGTAATAGGAGATGAAGGCTCTCATGGCTTTTCAGATGTCCCTTTGAAACAAACCCAGAGTGTACTGTTTGAGAGGGTTTGATCTGTGATGGCTAAGAAGAAATACATGACACAAATTACCCGGCTTCCCTACAGTGTGCTTTCAAGGGTTGATGTGACTTAATTTCAGAGAAAACTTTATCTTTTCTTTAAGCTCCTTCCTTAAACATAATTGTTCTGTGGCGTGAGGATGTTGCCGTGTGAGGCACTTTGTTCAGATTCAACCTAGTTTAATTCCCTAAACTGACAAGATAACCAGAAGATATTTGAACGATAAAAAAGTGATGTTTGCAGACTTTGTAAGCCAGCAAGTAGTCTTGCTTGTTTAATGCTATTTTAAAGAGTCAGCACAAACTTTCCGTCTTGTTTCCTGCATCATGCAGCAGATATCATGTTATTATGTGAGAGGAAATAATACTTTGTAAAATTTGGGAGAAGCATTTCAGTGAAAGTTAGTGAAATTAGTTTTGTTTTCCAAAGTGATAATGTGAATTTTTAGTTTCAGAAGTGATGATGAATACTGCTTATCCCTTCCTTGGCATATTTAGAGTGTTTCTAAGAAAAATTGCTTTAGGGTAAAATAGTGGAAATGGATCTCACAGGAACCCAATACAGCATTTTGTTAAAAGGTGTATCTGAGATTTGTCTAGAATATATTATGTATACCATCAAAAATGGAAAGGAATCATGAAGCTGAAACTTAAATGAAGGTTTCCTGGGTATCTGATAATTAGTATTTTGGGAGTTCTTAGCAAAGAAGTATTTGGGAATGAGGGAAGTGGTGACTGATCAGGATGCATTGTGCATATAAATGATTGTGTTAAATTGAAACGCCTTTGTACAACTGTGAAGATAACAATACAGTGAATTTTCAAAAAGGTAAGTTTAGACTTCACAATAGAACTATTTCTACTTTGGCCAACAGAATGTCATATATTGTTATAACTTAGAGATTTATACTGAGATCTGAAAAACTAGTTTATGGTGGTCAATAGACCACATTGTCTTTTGGGTTCAGAGAGGTTACATAATCCTGGAAATATAGCTTTGTTTCATTATTTACCTGGATTTCCTCTGGCTTTGATGGTCAGAAGTCCTTGTACTAATCTCTGGTAGATGGAAGGCTTTTGCAGAAATGTAAAGAAAGGAACAACAGTGCTGAAATTTGAGGAAATAGATCCTCAGAATTATCTAAGGGCTGTGCTGCTTTTGAAAGGGAAGTAGGATTTATTAAACCAAACTGTAATATTGAAGCTGAATACTGCCTGAATGAGCAGAAAGCAGTAGAAAGTTCAGAGCCACTTAAACCTTCAGAAGCTCAAAGTTGCCTTGAATATGTTTTAGGTAATACTTATAGTTTGATTTTTTTAATTGTAGGAAAAATCTAAAAATTTAAAGTGATTCACATATGTTGAATTATTTTATACACAATATAGATATTTTACTTTTAACATCTTTCTAGATTTAATTACTAGGTTATTTTCTTTACCTAACAATAATTGTCTTAGGAAATGATTCTTAGATACCTACGGTAATTTTATTATGAATGGAGAGGTAGTTTTGAAGGTAGTTATCACAGAATGGGAGGTGTGAAGTAGAAGCTGTGTAATAAGAGTTTGGATAGGCTTAAGAAGTGCTTTCAACTGATTTTCTAAGTTATTGATCTTTAATGACCTTTTTTTTTTGGTGGCAAACCAGTGAGTATGAAGCAAAACTAAATGTGTTCATTTTGATGTTTTGTTTTTCCTATTTTTTTGTGTGGTGTCCTTTCAGTTATAAAATAATAACTTTCCAAGTCATTATTACTTGACAATGTGAAAAATCTCACATCCATCTTTAAAAATACTTTTGAACTTTTTCTGATCTACGCAATTCTAGAATGAGTATGGCATT